CCTCAAAATTAAAACCTATTTCTTCTCATTTCTTCTTACTTAAAATTTGCCACTGGTGGGGCTGGAGAGATGGCTCATCAATTAAGAGCACTTCCAGAGAACCCAGGTTTGGTCCCAACACCCTTGTGGCAGCTAACAACTGTCTATAACTCCAGTTTCAGGGGACTTGACACCCTCTCTGACCTCTGCAGGCACTGCATGACATGGGTGCACTTACATACAAGTAGGCAAAACACTCAGACATATAAAATATAAAAAAATTTAATAGATTAAAAAAAAAGTTTTCAGTAAATTGCCACTGGTAACACAACAATCTGAAATATCTCCAATTAAAATACCAACTCAAACTTTCTTTCATGAACTTCTGTCAGTTCTAGTTTCTAAGCAGAAGGCTGGCTAGCCTGCTTCTAACTACAAACAGTTCATATTAAGAGCATTCATTGGGCTGGGCGTAGTGGCATACAACTTTAATCCTAGCACTCTGGAGGCAGAAGCCAGCAAATTCCAGTTCAGCTGGGGCCACAGGGAGACTCTGTCTCAAAAACAAAACAAACAAAAAAAGAGCATTCACTATACACACACACACATACACACACACACACACATTTTATATGTATATATATATATATTTTGGTCTTTTTGAGACAGGGTCTCCCTGTAGCCACAGCTGTCCTGGAACTCACTATTATAGACTAGGCTGGCCTTGAACTCACAGAGATCCACCTGCCTCTGCCTCCCAAGTGCTGGGATTAAAGGCGTGCACTCATTCACTATATTTTAGCACACACTTAAGGCAGCTCACTGCTGACTTCTCTGCCAATAGCGAATTCCTAAAGCTTCACTTAAAATGACTCTTCTGAGTATTTATCAATGTTTTAGAAAAAGAAAGGAGACTGATCATTGCCATAAATGATTTATTTAGTTTTAAAGGAAAACCTGTGATTAAAATGCCCGTCACTCTGCATTTCAGTGAAAAGCACCCGGAGCTGAGAGTCGACAGTCCCCAACCTCCACCTACACATTCGCTTGCTTTGCCTCTTCTTTGTGGTCATGTTTTACAGGGTGGAAGGTACAGAAAGCATGATAGAAATGCCATTGATCAAAGAAATGGAGCACTTTTCAGAGCATTTGGTGAAGTATCTAGTTACCCTGGTGCAAAAGCACACATCCCTGAAAAAAGAACTCTTCTGGGTGAGCAGTGTTCAGAAGGGAACAGAAAAAGGGAGAACACAGCCAGCAGCCAGTCATTAGCAAAGCCCACCTCTGTGGGCCCTTGTCCCACCTTTACCAAGAATACTACAGGTGGTTCTATATTCCCTCAAGCCGTCCAAAAGGGAAGCACATTGGACCTGACCCCAGAATCTTACTCTGTTCTAGACACAGATGGTAGCTATTGAAAACAAGTTTGAACAGAACTGAAGTTGGCTCAAGGGTTCATAAAATTCTATTTGGATTTTAACCGGCCATGACTATGGTCCAACTTCTCCTTTCTAACTTGGAAAATGTAAGCATGAATGGTTGTTCTTCAGTTAACTAGTTATATTCTAGTCAGCAACTAATTACCACTAGGAATTTAACGCAATTATTCAGTTCCAGTGATAATGCTGCCAGCCTCTGGTCCTCTGACTATGCAGTCATATCTAGAGGAATGGGCCACTTAGCTATTTACTCTCCTATATCCCAGCCAATCAATCCATATCTTTTATTCAGCAGTGGCAAGCTTACAGAAGAAGAAATTCAGTTGATTATTTTCAGGATCTTCTGAAGTCCTGATCACAGACTGAGACAGTGACAGGGCTGGAATGTGACCCCTGCCCCCCTCACCACTCTCCTCTTGAGGATCTTCAATTTGTAGGCTCAACAGCAGGTTCCCATGAAATTCAGTGGGAACACCCATGCTCACTAGATGCTGGGCTCACTCCTGTGCTCTTGAACTGCTCTTCCCTCAATCCCACTCATCCCATTCCTTTGATCTAGTGCCTTATATCCTCCTTTGGGACCAGAAACAGATAAGAGGTACTGTGTGCCATTTCACATCAACATTAGTCTATAGCACTCCAGAATAACTTGAAAATGTGTTCACAGCCTCTTTTTCATTTATCAGAAAGCAGAAACAAAACCTCTGTTCCACATCACCTTCCTTGGCTCCCCTCAGTCTTCAAGAGTTAGAATTTGCTACCTGTCTGTGGTTACTGGACAGGTGCTAACTTCCACATTAACCTAGACTCTCATAAAACTCAACTCTATTATCAGTTCAATATAAAAGCAAAAAATCGTGTGTGTGTGTGTGTGTGTGTGTGTTTGTGTGTGTGTGATGACGGGGTTCAAACTCAAGGACTTGTGCAAAACAGTCAACTGCTCTATCACTGAGCATACCCTCAGTTCATATAAACTACCACTACCCGCACCCACTCAACACACCCTTAGAGCACCAGCACCAGCTAAGATGCTTTAAAACAACTTCAGGGTCACACACTGACCTCCAAGAACCTTCATTTTGAGTTCTTCCTCTTCAGAATAACTATCCCAGGAGCTCCAGTGCCCAATATTCCCAGTCTGCTCTCTTTGCCATGGTGATCAGCTATTGCTGAGATGCCAGCCATCTCAGTGCCTGAGGCCATTCCTGTGACAGCAGGGATTGTGAAAAGGACACACCAAGCGTACCAAGGTTTAAGTAACAAAAAGACTATTAAGCACTCTGGGCTTTATGGGCTTAAATGAGCAAACTCATTGTTTTTCAGTGAGATGAGACCTGGGCTTTCAGGGTTTCAACATCAAGGACCACAGGCTATCAACTGTTCTTCACTATCCCCCTCTGATGGAAAAACTTATCAGGAAAAGTGATCGTCTAATAAACAAACTACATGGGACATTTTAAATAGTAAAAAAATAACCATGGAGTATTTATTATTACTATTATTATTATTATTATGAGACAGGGTCTCCCTGTAGCCCTAGCTGTCCTGGAACTATGTAAACCAGGCTGGCCTTGAACTCACAGAGATCTGCCTGCCTCTGCCTCCCGAGTGCTGGGACTAAAGGCGTGCACCACCACGCCTGGCTGGAGTATTTATTATTTTATGTTTAATTCTTATTTAGAAAAGTCTGAACCAAGAGGATGATGAAATGCTTTAAAACTTTCCAGTGACACATAGGTTTTATTTTTGGCTGGCAGAGCTAAGCACTGTGCAGAGTACTTCCCATTATCACATGCCATCCTTACATTAACCCAACCAAGCATATCCTATTTTTAATTCTCAGGTTGAACAGGAGGAAGCTGGGCCTCAGTAAGATAAGCAATTCGCCCAGAGTCATACGTTCATATGCAGGAGAGTCACTACTTGGCCTTTAGGCACTAAATTTCAAATCTATGCCTTAACTGCAGGTTAATTTTTATTTAAATTTTTTTTTTTTAAATTGTAGGCCAATGACCTGGCTGAGCAGTCAAAGCACTAGCTGAGCAAGCCTGATGGGTTGAGTTTAATTCCTGGAACCTATGTAAAAAAGTTAGATGTGGTAGTGTACATCTATAAACCCACACTCGTACAGTGGGATGGGAGATAGAAACAAGAAAATCTCCCAGAAGATTGTGGGCCAGCCAGCCTGGAGTACAAAGAGAGAGACTGTTTAAAAAACGAAAGAACACGTTCTACACATGCTCTGTGGTGTGTGCACACCTCCAATTGCCCTGCGTATACACGTACACATATACTATTACTAATAAAACTATAAAGCATTTTAATTGTAAGTTTGAGAGACTCACTCTACAAAGAACATGTATTTCTATAAATAGAAAAACAGAAGAGAAAGAAAAATAAAGGCCAAACTTCTCATTGCCCTTAAGACCAATTTTTTAAAAACCAAAAGTGCTATTCATTTTAGGTCTGACATTCATTTGGGCAAGTTATCAGAACATTCTAAATATTTAGTGCCCATCCAATACCTACATAAACATATACTGAATATATCTCTACTATGTAGCAGGAATGTGCTAGGAACCCAGGACAGAAATGGACAAGAGAAACATGGTTCTTGTTGGGGTGTGGTATAGACAAGTTGGGAGGACAGTCTCTATACAGGAAATACAACATCACAAAACTAGTATGAAAAAAAGGATAGAGGGAGTAGATGCAAGGGAACCTAGTTCAGTTATGGGCAAGGGAAAGTCTCCCTCCCAGGGGTTAGGACAGAGATAAGAAACTGGAGGAAGAGTAGAGTGGCTCAAGGCAACACAAACTAAGAGAGGACACGCCAAAGCCCAGGCTGGGGCAGTGAGTAGAGGTGGGAACTGACAGGACTGTCTAGCATACTGAAGACTTGCACTGTATCTGAACTAACTACAGCAAAAAGATTTAAGCACAGGAGTGTCACGTGTATCAACGCAGTTGCAGAGCAGAGAGCAGCTTAGGGAGTCTATAGGGAGTACGGCTATAGGGCAAACTCTTTCTGCAATGCAGGTGATGATGAGCAGGGCTAGGGTAGCAGACATGGGAAAGTACAGACACTTATGAGGCAGAATGTCAGGATGACGGGAGACTGAGTGAAGACTGATTTAACATTGAGATAATTCTGAGACTTGGAAAGTACAGACTAATTGGTTTTTTTAAGAAATATTTTATGATTTTTATTTTATGTGTATGAGTTCATTCATATGTATAAGTGTGCCCATGTCATGCAATGCCTGCAGAGGTCAGAAGTGGGCATTGGATTCCCCTGGAACTGGAGTTACAAAACAGATGATTGTTAGTCATGTGAATGCTAGGAAATGAACCTGGGTCCTTTGCAAGAGCAGCAAATGCTCTTAACCACTGAGTCATTTCTCCAGTCCCCAAACTACTTGTTTTTTTAAGGTATAGAGCTTCATGTTTTAAATTTAAATATATCATTGGGCGGGGGGCAGAGGAGAGTCATTTCCAAATACTTATTCCAAATAAAGAAGACACTTACACTTCTGAAACTGCCATTTACTCACTAGTGCCTGGCTTCCAGCCCTAACTCACCTGGTTACCAACCAATAGTAAGTGTTCTCCAAGGACAAAATCTTTGAGCATGTCTTCCATCACTAGCATGTGCTAGAGAAAAAAAAAAAAAAAGACACAGTCAAGGTCAAATAAGAAAGCTACACAGAAAAAAAATAAAATAACCTTTGAAATTAAAAAAAGAAAGCTATATAGATATCATCTTAGGATGCAGAACATCTAATATGAAAGAATACTTAATTGATTGGAATTAAAAACATATTTAATGATGTGGATATACATAAGTTAAATACTCAATTAGGTCACTGATTTTGAAAACATCGAACAGCTCATTTGAGCAAGTGCAAGCAACTGACCAAAAATAGAAACAAGTTTTGTAATTCAAGTATTTTTATTTAAATCATAGAATTGGCTTATAATTTAATGTAATATTTAAATTGACACCTGTTGATGTAAATAAACAAAAGCTAGCAAAAACAGACATCTCCATTTTAGACTCAGGTTCTTAACTATTACCTTCAAAACTGTGTACAGTTTTAGAATTAAAAAATATACTGTTTACCTTCTATGGATTTTCATTTGAATTATGACACAATATAATGAAAGAGTAAGATTAAAGTCGCTCACAATAGCCACAGAGGAAATTACGTTGCTTTTTTGTATCTTGAAAAATAGGACACCCATAAGTAGGTTACAAAGGCTCACAGGGACTGTCGGAAGAGCTACATCCCAGCACAGTTAATATCCCTGTTACTTTCTCTTGGCTTTCTGCATCAGATCACTAATAACCTCCCATATGCTGAAGTTCCCTATTTTTTAAAAAGGCAAGTTAACCTTTTATATTGCACATAGGCTACAGATAGTTTCTAGCATTTTATTTTCTTCTCTGGATTTGACTTTTTTTGTTGTTGTTGTTGTTTTTTTTTTTTGGTCTTTTTTTGAGACAAGGTCTCCCTCTAGCTCCAGATGGCCTGAAACCTGATATATGGACCAGACTGTGCTCAATCTCACAGAGATCTGCCTGCCTCTGCCTCCTGAGTGCTGGAATTAAAGGCATACATCACCATGCCTGGCTTAAATTTGATTTTTTTGACATCCAGATTTTTTTAAACTTGTTAATTCTGCAATACTTTAATTTTTTTCAGTTTCTTTCTTAGAAATAAAAACTAAGAAAGTTCCTCCCCTCCTTTGAGAATAATGAGCATCTTGGTAGTTTTTAATTTTCTTAAAATACACGGGGGAGCTAAAGTTTTAACAAGGTCTAAAGTCAAATATCATTCTAGAACATTCCAAAAAACAGTTAAGAGGCATTAGATCAACAGTGTAAAATAAAGACTGCCCTAAAAGCAAACAGGTATTTGGTTACCCTCTGAAAGGAAGTCCTAGAAAATCATTTTAATCTGGGTCCTGGAGGTAATATAGTCTGGAGACTGCTTCCTTTTCATTAAATGGCAAAGTCAGTGGCAAAGTCAAGACACTAAGTTCTTCCTAAAACAATTGGCATGAGGAATAGAAAAAGTGTTAAGAAGAATTTGCACAGCCAGGCAACCCCAAAAACTCATCTAAACTATGTGTGCTCGCTTCTCCTCTTTACTATTCTCACATCCTCCTACTTTCCACCCTTATTACATCTAACCAGATTATTCAAACAAACAAGACTTGGTCAAGCCCAAGGTTACTCCAAGGTAATTCCTAGCTTAAGTCTGGTCCTTCTTGAGTCTTCAGGCAACTTCTAACAAATTTTCAGTGGTTCTTTCCTTTGTTTATTCTCATCATCTTTCTACCTGCTTTCCTTTGGAGTCACAGTACATGACAGAGGGTTGTGCCTAAGTGGATTCCTGAGGTCAGGTCAGGGATGTGTGCAGAGCTGCAGCCCTGCACTTAAAGAGCTCCAAGCTTCTTAGATTCCTTCACCCACCACTTGGTCCCAGTTCCTAACTCCACGCTGATCTTCAAACAGTAGGATTTCTCTGTGATGACAGAACCACTTGTTATTCTCCAGTTTCCCAAATTCAACACATCTGAACCTTAACTCATTCCTTGCTCTTCAACTTCCTTGTTCATCCTGTATCTTTTCCCCTGATTAATAAGGATAATTTTCTTCCACCTGATCAAACTCTGCAGACCTTGCTCCTCTGTTACAGAGATCCATTTAAAAGCCAAGTCTTGGGGCTGGAGAGATGGCTCAGCGGTTAAGAACACTGGTTGTTCTTGCAGAAGTCCTAGGTTTGAATCCCAGCACGCACATGGCAGCTAACAACTGTCTGTAACTCCGGTCCTAGGGGATTCAATAGCCTCTTCTGACCTCCCTGGGCAATGGACGACATAGGTGCACTTACCTACATGCAGGCAATATGTGTATACCCATAAAATAAAAATAATAAATAAAATTTAAAAAAAACAAAGAAAACCAACCAAACAAAAAAAAGCCAAGTCTTAGCTATCAAGCCCCTCCCCCCACACCAGAAAAACCACAGAAAACAAAACAAAACAAAAAAACAGTGTCTGTCCCCTCTTTTCTGTTGGCACAGTGCAGAGTTGAGGCTTTCATCATCTCTGGCCTGGATTCTCAGCAGCCAATCCAGCTTCTGAACTTCAGTCCTTCTTGGGGCAGATGTGCTCTTCACAGATAGCAGAGCTGCTGCTTTGTTCAGAGTCCTTGCCCCTTCATTTGTCCAAAGCTGCTTAAATGTTCTTAGTACTTTAGGAACAGTGGTTGCTCCTCCTGTCCCTGTGCGGGCGCAGTCTCCTCTCCCAGCACTCTCCTTCAGCCACACTATATTCCTTCCCAACATGGGCACAAATTAGTCATTCTGTTTACTCTTTGGTTTGCTTTTCCACCAGATACAGTGCTGCTCCCTGAGAGAAAATGTTTATCTTTCCTCTAAAGCAAAGCTCCATGATTTCTACCACATAAAAGGTCCTGTAATGTGTCCACTCCATTCTGTCCCTATCACTGCCTTATTTAATTCAGATTTTTCTCAACTTTCACCTAGACTATTTCAACAACCACTGACCTAGTATCTCTGATTTCTAACAACTGAACAACATTAGAGAGTGAATAACTAGTTAGCAAAAGTACAAATGTGCTTAAAAGCTTCCACTGGTTTCCTTACTAACAAAAAGGATCCCAATTCCTACCTTAGTGAAGACCAGAAAATGCCATCTTTTCCTCACACACCAGCCTCATCACTTGATACTTTTCCACTTGCAACCTCAGCTCTGTGCCAGTGAAGATTACTTACAATGAGGCTTCCTAAGAGATTAACTCTCCCATTTAACCAGGGCTTTACAAATGCCAGTCTCTGCCCAAGTGACTTTCCTAGCTTTGTCTGGTTAACCAGGTTTTTGAGATCTTTCCAATCAGGGACTACTGCCTCCTTGACATTACCATGATAATCTACATAAACCTCCTTCACACTATGTGGTAGCCAAGTGTACTTATCACCTTGTACCTTCCATTAGATTTTAATTAAAAACATCTTGAATGCTGGAGTGTATATGCTTGTGTATACATTTTATTTTTTATTTTTATGAGTGTTTATTTTTTAAATTATTTTTATTTCATGTGTATGAGTGTATTGCCTGCATATATGTAAGGGCACCCATGTCACACAATGCCCACAGAAGTCAGAAGAGGGCATTGGAATCCCTGGAACTAGAGTTACAGACAGTTGCTAGCTGTCATGTGGGTGCTTGGAACTGAACCCCGGTCCTCTGCAAGAGCAGTCAGCGCTCTTAACCACTGAGCCATTGCTCCAGCCCCGTGTATACATTTTAATCTCTCGTAGTATTTTTTTTCAGGTCTAAAGCTCCTTGGACTTATAAAAAAAGCAATTAATTTCCCGTTCTTCCAGTTTCTCCTATTTATTACAACTGTAATATTCATTAGTGAAAGATTTAATGAAATAATACTGCTTAAAATGAGCACTCAAAATCTTACTGATCCATTTTTTTTTTTTTTTTTTTATGTTTTGTTGTTGCGGCTATTTTTTTTTCCCCGAGAGCTGAGGGCTGAACCAGGGCCTTGTGCTTGCTAGGCAAGTGCTCTACCACTGAGCTAAATCCAGACCCCATCTCCCTTATTCATCCCTTTTCATTCCCTCAACACAGATTTATCCAGCAGTTACCATGTTCTAGTCACTTTGCTATTTGATGGAGATACCAGATAAAGAAAGGACAAGGAAAACACATTTTAAAGATCAGTTTAAATGCAATGTGGAAAGAAGACATCACAGGAAAGACAGCTCAGGTACACCTGAATCAGTAAGGGACACTGAAGATTCCTGTTTGGGGGATGGCATGCAGTAGAAAGGAAACAGTACAACAAAAGCAAATTGTATCAAGTCACAGTCCCCAGACCTGCTGCAGCTAAAATTGTTCATTAACGGCTGATTCATTACACTTCAAGAGGAGTAGGAACATTTGGAGACAGGTTACACCAAGTCCCTCCGGGCCTCTGTGTAAAGTTCACTGCAGTCCCCTCATCCTCAGTGCCTTTGTCACAAGCACCATGGCAACAGACACTATGTTTGAGGCCACAATGGTCCTTCCTACTGAATTCCTATATTCTTACATGCTGTCAAGTCTTGTCAACCTCACTACATTAGTTTTTCAACTGTCACTTATAACAGTTTTCTGATTCGTTTTGTTTTGTTGTTTCCCCCCCTTTCTACAGCAGGGTTAGAATGTGATACCATCAATACTTCAAAACATTTTTCCTTCTTATCAAGCTTTTGTCTTTATTTTGTGAATACGAGCTTGTTCCTTAAATCTAAATAACTTTATTTTCTGTTCCTTTGTTTACTGATTATGCAAGAGTACTAATGTTCCTAAAGAAAAAGTAAGCCTACAATAGTTAACTGATTGTAAAACATAAAAAACAAAAGCAGCACTATGCTTTTCATTATACTAGAAATAATTATAGTTTTGATAAGTAAATATTTTCAGTGACAAAGAAGAATTTGTCTAAATTTTACCTTCTTTACTATTAATATTACTTAGGGATAGAAATTACAATATTCATTGAATAACAAATAAGATTGGAGAAAAGAAATTTTAATTTTTGTTAACTCCTTAATATGGTAAAAATAGCAAGATTCTAACATAATTTGTAAATATTATCTACATACAGATTATTAACTAAAAATTACAAAAAAATTAGTGTGCTTTTATTATAAAAGAAATATATAGCCAGGCATGGTGGTGCACACCTTTATTCCCAGCACTCGGGAGGCAGAGGCAGGCAGATCTTTGAGTTCGAGGCCAGTCTGGTTTCTGTAGTGACTAGCTGTGTCTACAGAGAGACCCTGTCTTGAAAACACTAAAAAAAAAAAGAAATTTCACTAAAAAAACTTATTGAAATGAATGTCTGTAATTATAATAAAGCTTTCTAGGTAAAACTTGTCTTTGTAGACAATCCATGATTATTGGTTAGTCCGTAAGACGGAAATCTCTGTCATACCTTGCCCAAAAAAAGGAAGGAGGGGCTGGAGAGATGGCTCAGCACAGGTAAGAGCACTGACTGCTCTTGCAGAGGACCTGGGTTCGATTCCCAGCACCACATGGTGGCTATGAACCGTCCTTAACTCCAGTTCAAGGGAAATCCAAAGCCCTCTTTTGACCTCCGTGGCGACGTTGCATGACACAGGTGCACTCACATACATGCAGGCAATATACTCATAGACACAAAATAAATATACTCAGGCAATATACTCATAGACACAAAATAAAAATAAAATAAAAATAAAAATATTAAAAAAATAGCAAAGAAAAGAAATACTGGGAATTTTCTGGAAAAGTGAAGGAACATTAGGGAAAGGATACATTCCTCTTTGAACTATAGAAATGATTTCACTAATAAGCAAAGAAAAGAATGAGCACTGCTGTTTTAATTTAGTAATATATTTAAAATCATAGCAGTGGGGCTAGAGAAATGGCTCAGTGGTAAAGAGCACTGGCTACTCTTCCAGAGGACCCAGGGTCTATTCTCAGCACCCAAATGGAAGCTAACAAGTCGATAACTCCAGTTCTAAGGGATTCAGCACCCTCTGAGGGCACTGAATGCACATGATACACTTACTACATGCAGGCAAAGCACTCATACACATAAAATACAAATAAATAAGTTTTTTTTTAAAAATCACAGCAGCAACTCCTCTAATTTTGAAGTACCATTGGAAAGAATTTTAAGTCTTGTATTTTAAGCTCTATAATTAAAGACATGGCAGCATTTCATTTCGCCTTACCTGAATTGAATTCCGGAAATCACAGCTATAATTAAGCATCAATGTCATCTGGGTCAGCATTAACTACTATAATGTGGTAATTAACCCAAGAGCACAAAGCAATGCCCTTACCTGAACATTGTCATAGAAGAGAACATCGGGCACTTTCATTTTCTCGTGGGCATTGTATACAGGTGCACTGACAGTGCCAATCCTCAGAGATCCAGATACTATTTCACCTGAGTATTTCATACAGGACAGAGAATTAGTGATCACAATGTCTTACAAATATCCAGAGAAGCCAGGTCTGCCCAACCTACAAGGCAAGTCAGCTTCCACAACACTGTGAGCTCTCCAGGGAGAGCTAAAGAATAGACTAGCACACCACAGATCTACACACAGCTTAAAATAGTGCAGAACATAATGATTTTATTGAAAATAAAATATATGGCAACAACATATGTGTGCACATAATTGAGAAAAAGTAAAAACCAAAAGAGTTATGCCACTTTAATAAACTTTTTCAGAGACTACAACATATAGATAAGCTAAATACATCTTCAAACGATCCTAAGTGTCCTGAATGTCATCTTCTAAGACCCACACATTAAAAAATCCCCATGAGAAAATTCTCTGGAGCACTAGCCAAAGATGTAAATGAACCAACAACCCAAGCCAAATTCCTTGAACTATTATTCTCCGGGATGGTCCAGAAGATCAATATTTTCATATACATACCCTGCTTATTTTGATATCCAGCTAGATTGGGAACTTGTACTCTACAAAATTATTCTGCAATGATTATTATTGTATTGTTCACTGTTTGCTTTAAAGAACCTGGCCTACAGTAGATTATGAGGTCTTTGAAGCAAGGAAATGAAAAACAAAATTTTAGGTGCCAGGGAACATCTCTCATATATATTCTGTAGAGACACCAGATACTTATCACATTGACATTTTGCAAGAATACTAGCAAAATTAATCATAGTAGTTAGTGTTATAATATTACTGACCACAGTAACAAAAGTTAACATTCACCTAGGACTTTTAACATACCATCTCTCAATAAGAGATTAATCATATAATTTCAACTAACTCAATAATGCAACAAAAATTAGTGAGGAAACTAAAAACATAAGTTAAATAATTTGCCTAAAATCATCCAGCTTGTATGAGTAGATCTTAAAATAGAACTTAGTCTAGTATGACATTCTTCAAGTTCAGCATGTTAATCCTTTGATTCCAAATAATATTCCATCCTGTGGAAATACCCTAACAAGAAGAAACACAATACAATCCCTAAATAATTCACTCATCTTTTTTTTTTCCTACTTCAAGTAAGAAACTTGCCATTTGTTTCTCCTCTTGAAAGCTATTTTTGTGCTAACAATTTTGAAAGACAAGGGGCAAAAGTGACATTTGCTTCTATAAAGTGCTAGGAGTGATTTGAACTAAAAATAATTGCACTGTCACCTTTAGCAGAGTAACCACAGATCTTAAATTCTCCCTTCAGTGGATCCTTGCTGCTTTCCTTTTATTTACAAGTACCATAGGGAAGAAAAACCATACTCTGTCACACTGAGAACTTACTCTTTATTTACTACTGTCAGATCTTTAAAGAAGCCCCAGTATAAATCCACAAAGGAAAAGTGCAGGAATGTGGCAGTGCATCAACTTACACGCCTACGTGCTGAGACAACACACGTTATATCAGGTTCAAACAAGAACCTTTAGAGTTCAGTTACAGAACACTGTCATTCATAGATACAGGGCTTTAGAACAGTTAAGCTCAATGAAACATGTTTAGTGATAATATTTAACTAGAAAGGAAAACACTGGGGGAAAGCAGGCTGGCTATCTTCTAATAAGTTTGCCAAAGTTGTTAGACTTGAAGGCTCAAAACTTGATTTTGTCACAAAAACTGAGGGTAAATCTAACTTTCAGGAAAATATTAAACATATGTTCTGATAAAAAGCTGGAATTACAAAATATGGCACTACAAAATAAAGTGTATCTTTCAAAGGACCATGCTACCCTGACCACCATCATCATGTTATTTTGGAGAGACCTGAATGAAAAGCCAAGTCATGAAGAAATTGTTTAGTGAGGATGGACTCTTAACAAGGAGAGGGAAAGTAAATGAATTCTCCATGAGACCACTGGCTTTAAAGATGAATGACCAGTGAAGTGAAAAATCTGCTCACTTAGGTCACCCTGTAGAGGAAGCTCAGACAAACACTGCTGACACTGGCCAGGACTGAGCAATCTACAGTATGAATAACACAGTTCAATGTGTTAACAGTTCAATTAAATAACTAAGAGTCTCTCCATGGTTGATGCTGGAGGGAAATACGTTTTCTTCAGTGGCTTAGTCACTGTTAAGGTGCCCATGCTCCAATAAACAACACCTTCATCCCTGTTCCTGTAAGCAACCATAATGAAACTCATGGAGTCATTAAAAAAGATAGAAATGCAGAAGGGGTAATAGTTGGGACTAGGAAGGGGATCAGTGAGAGTGGGAGCAGGATAATGGGGGAAGAATATGAGCAAAATGATTTATCATGTGTGAAGATGCGATGATGAAATCCATTATGTATAAGTAATATGTGCTATTAAAAACCAAAATAAAATAAATAAGATGAAGATGTTGAGAAAAAATAGTAAGTCCCGGTTAATCTGTCTCTTTGAGTTTCTTCTGCATATCTATTTAGATCTATCAGTATATCAAATTTATAATTTTACTCTAAAAAAGTCATCTAATTTCCTTAACACCAAATCGTTAGTTCAGTGTAGCTACAATTATTAAAAACACCAATTACAAAGGAAGCCATTAGAATCCTTTCAGAGAGTGGTCACACATTGGATGTTTCAAGGCTAGTAATTACATTTAAAAATGGGAACACTCTCACTGTGCTCTAATTGAAGAATAGAAAACTTTGAGTGTCAGAATTCTAGACTGTATAGTGAAATATCTCTGGAAAAATATATTTGTCATAATTACAAAAGTTGATTTACAACAAAAATTCTCAAAACTTTTAATATATTAGTGTTAATTGTGACCCTTCATGGTGGGGAGAGGTCTTCTGGTATTTACTGAAATAAAGTAAATATTCAAAAATTTAGCTTGTAGAATAGCTTTCAAAGTAACACTAATTTCAGTGCAATTCATAAAACAAAATGGGATAAACAAAAATGTTTTCATTGAAATTAAGAGCACAGGATATTTAATGATTGTTACATCATATAAAAAAGAACCATGTCAAGTACTCACATTTGTAATTCTCAGGTTCTGGTTCCAGATTATCAGTATTTATTTCTATTGCAGCATCTGCCAGATTTTTCTCCAGTGCTGACCTAGCAAGGCTTGGTAAGAACCTAGTGAGGGGGAGGTGAGGTATGATAAAGTCAACACTTTCTTTGGCTCTTAAGTATCAACACACACACACACACACACACACACACACACACACACACCTTTACTAATTACAACCAATTAAGGAGAAACAGTATGGATCTATAAAATCTAAAGCATACAAAATTTCAGAATAAATTCAAAGTGTGTATAAATTACATGTTTGTGGAACTTCCTTTAGTAAGCTCATTTCTGATTAGCAATATGCATTTAACAGATTATGACAAATAATTTGCTTTCATAAGAGGATTTTGTATACCTCATACATCTAAGTAGATAAGACAGCAAGATCCTAATGTGCTCTAGAATGGCAATTACTAATTTAGATGGATTAATAAGTTTTCTTTATTTTCTGAAACAAATTACTGAATGAAGGACTATTTAGCTTCACATTTCCTTCCATTAAAAAGTATCTATCTGTTTTATAAATATGTTGTTAAAACAACAATCTGGTAAGTGATAGACATTCTTTAACTCAAACATACTGTAAGCACTATGTGGTTGGCACATGGAAGTTTACCTTCTATACAAAGAAAAGTATGTATAGAATTTATGATCCTGGTGAACCCACAGAAATGATCTTTAATCAATGATTACCTGTACTGTGCTCATATAAACTAACTGCCATGTGATGCAATGTTCTAAATAAACACACTAAGTATACCATTCTAATTTTTGGGGGGTGGGGGTCTTTTTGAAACATGTCTCCCTGTTGCCCCAGCTGGCCTGGAACTCACTATGTAGACCAGGCTGGCCTTGAACTCACAGAGATTAGCCTGCCTTTGCCTCCCCAATGCTGAGACTAGAGGCATGTGCCACCAGGCCTGGCAAATACCATTCTGATTTAAGTTTCACACAGCACTAAATCTTTGGTGATGGTTCCCTAGGCTTGAGAATAAACTCTTATCATGGAAAAGTTAGCATGAGCCAGAAAGCACATGAAAGTATAAAGAATTGTGGGTAACAGTCCCTGTCCATGTAAGATTCCAAACTGCATTCCTGACAGTGTTTCTTGCCTACTGCCTCGTTTTGGTCCTATAGTATCACAGGGTAATTTATATATTACGAGGCTCGCAGTTTATGAGTTCAGCATTCTAGACTTACCTGTTAGCCATTGCTGACTTTTCATCACAGTGCTTTTCTGTTTGTTTGCTTATTTGAGGTAAGATATCTCTATGTAGGGCTAGCCTCAGCCTCCCAAGTGCTAGGATTACAGGTATGGAATGGTATCCTGAGCTTTTCATCGCCTTCTAAGATCACAGCCTTGTTGAAAATCAAGCCCTTACTTTAGTTTCCAAACCTAATCACTGTCCTTTTGGGATCCCCTTTTGTTGTGGATTTTTTTTTTTTTTTTTTTTTTTTTTTTTTCTGTTTCTTGAGTCCTTGTTCTAGAATCTTGCCCATCCTTTCTCTCACCACTGTCTCACAGTCTGGGACTATCAGGCCCTTCAGGGACATTTCTATGACTATCCATCAGACCACCTGGACTGGTAGGGAACACTCACTGACTTGTTTGCTATTTTTGTACATCTCTGTCAAGGTCAGGTGTGTTCAGGGTGATATGGCTGTAGACTATTTTGTACATCTCTGACATTACATAGTCTACCAATACATCTCACAATGGTCCTATACTGAAACACTTCCAGATTTTGGTTTACAGTCTAGAGGACAGCAGACATGGGAGGAGGGATGCAATACTAAGTCTGAAAAGGCCAATGTGGACATATACACCAGTAATCCCCACAATACCAAGGCTGAGGCTAAGGATGGCAAGTTCAGGAACTACAAAGGGAGACCTTGTTTCAAAAACAAACAAAAAAACTCAGACTGACAGAACAAGTCTGAGGGGCATAACAGCTATCAGCTAATCTTACTTTTAGTGTATAGTGAATTAATTTATTTGAATTCTTAAATTTACAAACAGTATTAGAATATTTAAGATGCTTATGGTCTATCCTATATTTTAAAAAAATTGATCATAAGATGTAGGTTAATTATTTTATATATATTTATATGGTTTCAAAGTTTGAAAGTAGTTTAGGCAAGTTTTATAAATAGAATCAAATATTTTTCAAAGGTCTTTAAAAGCAATTATTAACATCTATTAGACTTATAGTTAAAGTGAAAAGCCCAAAGGAGTCTAGATTTTTAAAAAATATTTTATTGTTTTTATTTTGTGTGTATGAGTGTATTGCCTGCATGTGAGTGCACCCATGTCATGCAATGCTGTGAAGATCAGAAGAGGGCTTTGGATTCCCCTGGAACTGGAGTTAAGGATGGTTCGTAGCTGCCATGTGGGTGCTGGGAATTGAACCCGAGTCCTCTGCAGTCAGTGCTCTTAACCGCTGAGCCATCTCTCCAGTCCCAGGAGTCTAGATTTTTAACTACATGCATTAAAAAAAACTGAATCAGTTCTTAAGACCAAAATAAATCTCTAAGCTGTCTCTCCTGGAAGCAAAACCATTCTTGGAGACAACAAAAAATTCATGTCAATAATTATTTAACATTCAGCATAATTAGTTCTATCAGGCTTATGGTTTTTAAAATTAATTAGCTAACAGCTTACAAAGTAAAAATCTTACATACATATTATTCATTTTATACCAGAGTAGAATTTTTTAAAAATATTTTATTATTTTTATTTTATGTGTATGAGTGTATTGCCTACATGCATGTAAGTGTACCCATGTCATGCAATGACGCGGAGATCAGAAGAGGGTGTTGGATCCCCTGGATATGGAGTTACAGACTCCATGTGGGTGTTAGCCACCATGTGGGTGCTAGCATTTAAACCCGGGACCTCTAAAAGAGCAGCCAGTGCTCTTAATCACTGAGCCATCTCTCTAGCCCCGAGTGCAATTAAAAAAAGAAAAAATTATGTAACTGAGCTATTGGTTACTGGAATAAGTTCCCTATCACCTCACTTTCAAAGAAAGTTAATTTTCATTTCTGATTAGATTCTTATAGCTCTCTCGAAAATTTTACATTAAAGGATTGTTTCCTCCAATTTTTCTAGAAGTAAATCAACTAACACAATGCAAAATAACTGAACAGACTAGAACTCCTCTTACAGGGGCCTTTAGTTCTATAATAGAGGTATTTCTGGAATGTAAAACCTGAAGATTTCCTACACTTTTAAATTTTCTTCGCTATGGTCCCTTAGTCTTTCACATTTCTAGAAACTGAATTATGCACCAGGGTCCTAGAGTTGATATCCTTATTAGATGGCTGTGAGGACAAGGTTCCTAGACATTCATTACTTCAGATGAAGAAAAGAAAATAACAAAACAAGCTTAGCTAATGTTAGCCTCGTTTCTCTTGATTTTATCTGCTTAATGAAATACTTCATGAGTATTTTATGAAATTCTTTTCATTTTTGTCTTAATGTTTCAATGAAATTCAGTTCTTTTCTCACTGCTTCAATATGGAAAGAGGTTATTAAAAAGAAAAAAAAAAGTCACTTCATGCACTGATTTTTTGGACTCCTTCCTGTCACTGTGCTATGCTGAGGTGGGCAGAGAGGCTCCTGACTGAAGCTTGCTGAAGTCAACAGATGATGCATAAACAAGATAGCTGCTTTAGTGTTCATTTCTACTCCCAGAGGGTCAGGCCACGATAAGAAAACAGGGTTTTATTGTAGTAAGTTGATAACACTGGAAAAGGAGCTACCTGATGCAATGACATATTTAAGAAAATAAAAATAAGCTGGGGAAAATTGTTTCACTTTTTTGTTTGGGGTTTTTTGAGACAGGGTCTCCCTGTAGCTCCAGCTCACCTGGAACTCACTATGTAGACCAGGCTGGCCTTGAACTCACAGAGATCTGCCTGCCTCTGCCTCCCCAGTGCTGGGATTAAAGGCGTGCGCCACCACGACCAGCAAAAATAAGCATTTTAAAACCATGAAATAGTTAAACATTTCAGAAATTACAAAGAGTATTACAAAAAAAAAAATCTCAAGTGTAAAATAGTAACTGAGTCTTGTTTCAAATTCTATTTCCCTGATCAGTAACAGGGTTCAGAATCTTTTCAAATGTTGAGTAGATGTGAATTATTCATTTTCTACATACATGTCTAGGAAATCCTTAGCCCATCCAGGGCTGATTCTTTTTTCCTTTTTAATATGCAGCCTCTAAATTAATCCTTTCTTGATTATAAATCTTTTTAAAAAATATTTTACTTATTATTTTTATTTTATGTGTATGAATGTTAAGCCTGCATGTAGGTAAGTGCACCTATGTTGTGCACTGCCCGCAGAGGACAGAAGAGGCTGTCAGATCCCCTGGGACTGGAGTTATGGACAGTTGTTAGCTGCCAAATGGGTGCTGGGATTCGATCCCAGGTCTTCTGCAAGAACAGTCAGTGTTCTTAGCCACTAAGCCATCTCTCCAGTCCCTTGATTATAAATCTTATTAGACATTTTTCCTAGCTTACAAGCTTTTAACTTATAAAGTAGCTTACAGTCCTTTTGTCACATATCTACATCTTTAAGTATATTTTAAATATAGGATAACATGGAAATGTTTAATATTAACCCTCTGTTGGCATGTCCATCCATTTCCTCATTAATAATGATACTTCTACCATACTAAGTTCCACAAATACATAGGTCCTGTAGTTTATCTTCACAGTGGATGGTATCTGATTAAGTACACTCCCCTCAATTTTCACAAACTTTCTTTTTGGAACTTTATATTTCCATGCCAATTTGAGATCAGCATCTCAAATTCCTTTGGATTCTAAGTATGCATATGTAAAGTGGGTAAGGGGAGTTTTATAAAAATGAATCCTTCTTCCACTCAGGCATAACTTGCTTAGCTTTCCTTTATAGACTTCAATAGATTTTTTTTGTTGTTTTTGTTTTGTTTTTTTGGGACAGGGTCCCCTACACTCAGCCTGCCTGAAACTCATTATGTGAACCAGGCTGGCCTCAATCTCAGAAATCTGCCTGCCTCTGACTCCTAAG